GAGAGAGACAGAAAGAGAGAGAGACAGAAAGAGAGAGAGAGACAGACAGAGAGAGAGCGACAGACAGAGAGAGAGACAGAGAGAGAGAGACAGACAGAAAGAGAGAGAGACAGACAGAGAGAGAGAGACAGAGAGCAGAAGTAAAAGGCTTAGTCAGCACCACTGGCAGCGCAAGCATGTTCATGCGTGAGTGTGTGTGTATGTATGGATTGTTTCAAGAGTTAAGGGTTTAGGGTTTAGGGTTTAGGGTTTATAAAGTGTATAAGCACCTTCTTGCGGGGCTAAAGCAATGACAGGAATGAGCGAAGATGCAGCTTGCAGTATATACAGCCCAGCGAGGTATTCAGGTGTAGCTCCTACAGGGACAGAGCTATCATAAACTTTTAAGCCTACAGCTGTCCAGTCTCCTAGAGGATCTACGTTGCAACCTCTAGCAATTAATGCTGCTGCTAACTCCCGCCTAAGACGCATGCAGCAGCATATACTTCAATCAACACTCATTACCCTCTATCCACAGCTGTCTCTGTATATAGATGTATATATATATATATATATATATAGACAGATATATATATAGAGAGATATATATAAATAAATACATACAGAAACAAATATATTATTAATATGCAGAGATAGGCATACAGATAGGTTTATTAACAACTAGACAGATAGAGAGAAAGACAGCAAAAACAGTTTTAATAGTCAGCTATAAACAGTTTATTATTTAAACGATAAACACCAACGGACGAAACTGCAGCTCAGAGGTATAGACACCGCAGCAGCAGCAGCAGCAGCAGCAGCAGCAGCAAACCTGCGAATTTTGAGTGTATTTGTTCTCAGGGTCAGGGGCCGTCTCTGTTCATTTGCTTCAAAGAAGGCTAGGGCTTGCGCAGGGCTAAACAACTGCAGCAGCAGCAGCAGCAGCAGCAACAGCAACAGCAGCAGCAGCACGTGAAGAGCAGCAGCAAACAGCCTCTGGCGCGTATGGTGTGTAGTTGTCTCCTCCGAAGGAGAAAGGAGACAGCAAGAGGCGTCTCCGTCTTTGTTTGTCTTTGTTTTGTTTATTTTTTAATGCATTTGTTTGTTTGCTTGCCTGTAAGAAGTACTCTGCTAACTCGGGTGAATATTGATAATAATGTACGATATCATCTCTAAGCAGCTGCAGCAGCTCATGTCTGCTTCTGCTGCTCTTCTTGCTGCTCTTTCTCTCGTCTTCTTTGTCTCCTTTCTTAACTGTCTCCTTCCTACTCTTCGTTAGCAAACCGACTGTCTCCTCCATCCGGGCCTTCACTACTTGCAAATCAACTAACGGCAGCTGCCGAACCCCAGCGCCCCCAGACACATGAACCTCAGCTAAACAGCAGCAGCAGCAGCAGCAGCAGCAGCAACAGCAGCAACAGCAACAGCAGCAGAAGGAAGAGAATGGGATGTTGTAGGAGCAAAATGGAGATAGATTGCTTCGGACATAGCAGAAAACAAAGTGCTCACAGAGTCGCAACCTTATGCCTAAACCCTAAACCCTAAACCCTAAACCCTAAACCCTTAAGTGGTAAGGGTACCTTCTTCTTCAGACTCGGAGGCATCGTCTCCAGCATCTGCACCGCAGCAAACAAACGCAAAAAGAGTATTGCGGGGTAGTCCGTTGGGATCGTCTCCTGGATCAGCTGCTGGCATCGTGTTATGGGATCGTCTTTTGGGATCGTGTTATGGGATCGTATTCTGTTGTGGGATCGTGTTATGGGATCGTATTCTGTTGTGGGATCGTGTCGTGGGATCGTATTCTGTTGTGGGGTCGCGTTGTGGGATCGTGCAGTGGGACCGTGGAGTGGGATCGTGGAGTGGGATCGTGTTATGGGATCGTGCTGTGGGATCGTGTTGTGGGATCGTGTTGTGGGGTCGTCTCCGTGTGCAGGTTTACTTTGTGGGGTTTTGGGTGTATCTGTCTCCTCTTCCTCGCTCGAACTATCGCTAGGAAATGCATTTTCTTCTTCTTCTTCTTCGCTGTCTCCTTCTGTCTCTGAAAAGACCTAAATAATATAAAGGCAAACAAAAACAAAAAACAAAGACAATAAAGCAGATAAATAAAAAAGAGAGAAGGAGACAGACAAAAGGAGACAGATAAATATAAACAAAAGAAAAGGAGACAGATAGACAACCACAAAAGAATAAAAATATATAAACATAAATCAAACGCATACAAACACAATAAAAATAAAAGGAGACAGATAAACACAAAGGAGACAGTTAAAGACAAAGGAGACAGATAAACACAAAGGAGACAGATAAAGACAAAGGAGACAGATAAACACAGAGGAGACAGTTAAACAAATCGGCAAATAAATATCGTCAGCAACACGCAGATATAATTTAATAAACACAAACATAAAATGAGACAAAAGGAGATAAAAAGAGATAAAGAGCAAATAAACAATAAAGCAAATAAACAAATAAATAAATAAATAAATAAATAAATAAATATGCTTCTGCTGCTACGTGTCTCCTCACCTGGAGATCTGCTGCTGTCTCCTCTGCTGCACTTTCATCGCCAGACCCCAGCAAATCTTCACCAGATGAAGAAGCCTCAGAATCCTCTCCTGAACACAAACCCTAAACCCTAAACCCTAAACCCTAAACCCTAAACACTAAACCCTAAACCCTAAACCCTTAAACCCTAAACCCTAAACCCTAAACACTAAACCCTAAACCCTAAACCCTAAACCCTAAACCCTGAAGGATAAATTATTAATGGAGGTCTGATAGAACGATGATGACGGAAGGAGGCAAGGCCTCCTGCCTATTTATTTATTTATTTATTTATTTATTTATTTATTTATTTATTTATTTATTTATTTATTTATTTTGTTAGGGTGTACCTGGCTCTGCTTCGGCTGTCTCCGTTTCTCTTTTCTTTTTAGGCGGGAGCAGAGGGGTTCGTTTTTTGTCTTTAGCAGCAGCAGCAGCCTTTAAAGACGCATTTAGAGACACCCCATTTGCTGCTGCTGATTTGCTGCTGCTGCTGCTGCTGCTGCTGCTGCTGCTGCGCTTTGTTGCTGCCCAACTGTCTCCTTTGCTGTCTCCTTTGTCTCCTCTCCGCGCCTTTAGCGAACCCCCGCGGGCCTTCATTTCCTCTATACACACTTCAGCAAGTCTTTATCTGCTGCTGCTGCTGTTGCTGCTGCTGCTGCTGCTGCCGCTCGATGCGGTTGCTGCTGCAGCTGCTGCTGCTACTGGATGCAGTTGCTCCCGCGGTTTCTGGCTGCTGCTATTGCTGCTGCTGCTGGATCTATTGCTATTGTTGTTGCTGCTGCTGCTGCTGCAGTTGCTGCTGCTGCTGCTGCTGTTGCTGCTGCAGGAGACTCCGCGTTGGCGGAGTCGGGCAGAAGGCAGCAGCGTTTAGGGTTAAGGGTTTAGGGTTTAGGGTTTTCTACTAAGAGTAGAATAAAGTAAAGAAGAGACTAAAGGAAGAAACGAAGAATCAAACAGCAGCAGCAGCAGCAGCAGCAGCAACAACAACAGCAGCAAGAAGGGCCCAAGCCAGCGTACCCCGGGGCCCACTGGTTTGTGTTTGCATGCGTTTGTTAGTTTGAGGTGTATAGATAGTGAAGATTCAGCAAAATGCAATTAATATTAATTTATTTATATTAGCAACAGCAGCAACAGCAGCAGCAGCAGCAGCAGCAGCAGCAGCAGAAGACTGTCTGCTGCAGCAAGGAATCCATAGGGCCCCCTGTGGGGCGGAGACACTCTGTACTTCGAGCAGACTTTCTTCTTTTAGTTGTTTGTTTACTTTTATTTTATTTATATATTTATTAATTCAATTAAAGAGAGACAGAGCAAGGAGAGAGGAGATAGATAATATAAACCCTCTGCTTCTGTCTCTCTCCTAAAACCCTAAACCGCGAAACGTAGTTAGGGTTTAGCGAGGGTTTAGGGTTTGCTAAGAGTCTATTAAAAACTTCTCCTTAGGCTATGGCGAGGGTTTAGGGTTTAGGGTTTAGAGTCTTGCATGAGTGTTTATTACCCTTGTCGAGGGTTTAGGGTTTAGTGAAGGGTTTAGGGTTTCGCCTGGCGTTATGATGTTGAGGGTTTAGGGTTTGGTGAGGGTTTAGGGTTTAGGGTTTTAGGGTTTAGTAGTATAAGGCCTCATGCACTATGTGCGTATACACCCCAATTTAGTTGCATGTACACCCCAATCAGATTTAAATAAACAGTAGAAGATAAAGGGTTTCCCTCTTCTTCTTCGCTAAACCCTAAACCCTAAACCCTAGACCCTAACACTAATTAGGCAAAGCGCTTCACAGTTTGCCTGCCTAACACTCAGGGTTTAGGGTTTAGGGTTTAGATAGGGCCACAGTGGACCCTACAGAGACATCAGAACTAGAAGCTAAACCCCAAACCCTAAACCCTAAACCCTAAACCCTAGGGCCTCTCCTGAGGCTCTAGCTTGTTTCCCTTCTCCTCTAGGGTTTAGGGTTTAGGGTTTAGGGTTTGGTGGAGTGAATACAAGAGACTGCTGCAGCATCGGGTTCTTCTGCAAGTCTTCTCATATGCGGTGTACGTACACCTCGTTTAGAGGGTCGTCTCTGTTGCTGCTTTTTTGCTGCTGCTGCTGCTGCTGCAGCACCTCGGCCCCGCTGCTTCCTCTTTGCTGCTGCTGCAGCATCAGCGGAGGCCTTCTCCTCCCCTTCTGTTTCCTGCTGCTGCTCTTCCTGCTGCTGCTTTTGCTGCTGCTGCTGCTGCTGCTGCTGCATGCGTTCAGTGGTTTCAGGCTCTGCTATTTTGCATACTTCTGTCTTCACGCCTGCTGCCAGCAGCCGCAGCAGCCAACACCTGCAGCACGAAAAAGGAGACAGCAAAGGAGACATATATATAGGCTGTCTCCTCGAAGCTGCTGCAGCAGCAGCTACGCAGCACCACAGCAACAGCAAAGGCTCCAGCACCAGCAGCAACAGCAGCAGCAGCAGCAGCAGTTGCTGCTGCTGCTGCTGCGGGAAGTGATATTAGGCCTCAGAAGCTGACGAGGCTGCTGCAGATTTAAAAGGAGACAGATAAAAAATTAAACCAAGACAACAAACCCTCACCTTTGTTTATTTGAAAGATGATCGCGGGGGCCCTTCACTTCTACAAGCATCACCTCCCACTCTTGCTGCTGCTGCTGCTGCTGCTGCTGCTGCTGCTGCTGCTGCCGCTTGCTGTGTTGCAGTTCCTCCACCAACGCCGTCTGTGGCGGCTCCTTCTCCTCTTCTCTTTTTTGCTGTTGTTGTTGTTGTTGCTGCTGCTGCTGCTGGTCCCCTTGCTGCATTCCCTCCAGCGGCGGTTCCTCCTGCTGCTGCTGCTGCTGCTGCTGCTGCCGCTGCTGCTGCTTGGGTCTCCACAAGAGGAGGTCTGGGAGACCATTGGACCAGCCTCTGTAATCTTCAGCCAGCAAACAAAACAAAAAAGAAAGCGCGGGGCCCCCAATTGCTGCTGCTATGCTGCTGTAGAACTCGGCGCACTCTGCTGCTCGCCCCTGCTGCTGCTGCTGTTGCAGCAGCAGCTGCTGCTGCTGCTGTTGCTGCATCAACAAGCTCTCGGCTGCTTGAAAACCCTCTTCCATCTCGTCTCCTGTCTCCTCACCCCCTTCTTCATCAAGCGGACTGCTCAGCTGCCGCCGCTGCTGCTGCTGCTGCTGCTGCTGCTGCTGCTGCTGCTGAGCAGCTGTTGAATATTCGCCCCTTTGCAGGGCCCCACAGTCCCAGGTGACTCCTCTTATTTGCTGTCCATACACCTCAGCAACAGCTTGCTTGAAGAGGGCGCGCACTTCGCTGCGGCTGCTGCGCTGCAGTTGCTGCAGCAACTGCTGCTGCTGCTGCTGCTGCTCCGGCAGCAGCATCTGCTGCTCTGATGGGTCTGCTGATGGGAGGAATGCTACCGCAAGGCATTGATTTGCTGCTGCTCGGGCCTCCCCTGTCTCTTCCTGCTCCTGCTGCTGCTGCTGCTGCTGCTGCTGCTGCTGCACCGTGGCGGCCTTACGTGCATGCATCTGGATAACTTGGGGAAGTATCCCGGTGGGCTGGTGGTGCTGGAGCTGCTGCAGCAGCATGAGCTGCTGCTGCTGCTGCTGCTGCTGCGCTGCAGCAAGGATTAGAAAGAGACTCCTGATTGCTGCACCTTCATCATGCACCCCCCTCCATTGCCCCTGCATCTGGTAGTGCTGCAGCGCTAGCTGCTCAACTCGCAGCAGCTGCGAATCCCAGCCAATAAAAATGCTGCTGCGGCCTGCTGCTGCAGCAGCAACAAGAGGGCGAGCCGTCACAACGCACACTGGTAGCTGCTGCTGCAGCTGCTGCTGAGCCTCATATGCGTCCAACACCACCTCATGCACATCCGCTGGCAGCAAATCTAAAACCCCAAGCTGCTGCTGCTGTTGCTGCTGCTGCTGTGTCTGTTGATAGGACCTGCTGCTCTTGCTGCTGCTGCTGCTGCTGCTCTTTTTGCCTCCAGCTGTACGTACAGCTCTCCGACGCTTTCGTGGAGGAGACCGCACAGGGGTACCACGCTTCGTGCGTGTGCTGCTGCTGCTGCTGCTGCTGCTGCTGCTGCTGCTGCTGCTGTTGCTGTCGCTGCTGCAGTCACTATCGCTGCTGCTGCCAGATGAGCTGGTGCTGTCGTTGGTGCTGCTGCTGCTCGCAGCAACTCGTTTACGCCTCCTTCGTGCTGTGCTGCATTCTGCATCCGAGTTGCTGCTGTCTGTGTCACTGAGTATCTCCTGCTCCTGCTGCTGCTGCTGCTGCTGCTGCTGCTGTAGCGCTTGCTGCTGCAGCTGCTCCCAGTTTGCTGCTAGGCGTTTGCGGTGTATAGACACCGCAGCTTTAATTAGTCTCCTTGCTACTTCTTGTCTCTCTGATATAAATACAGCCTCCCCCTCGCGGAGGCATCTGACTGCTTCAACTACTGCTCGCTGCTGCTGCTGCAGATGCTGCAGCAGCAGCACAGTCAGTCGGTTGTACCACTTACCCACGCGGTGTCTAAACACCCCATACCGCTGCTGCTGTTGCTGCTGCTGTTGCTGTTGTTGTTGTTGTTGTTGTTGCTGCTGCTGCTGCTGCTGTTGGGTTTCCTCCAAGTGCTTCCCGCCTTCTTCTCGCTTTTGTTTTATTGTCAGCTTTGTTTCTGTTGCTGCTGCAGCTTCTTTCTTAGCTGCTGCTGCTGCTTCTTCTTTCTTTGCTGCTGCTGCTTCTTCGTCTTTCTTTGCTGCTGCTGCGGTTGCTGTTGCTGCTGTTATTGCTGTTGCTGTCGTTGCTGCTGTTGTTTCTGCTGTTGCTTCTGTTGTTGCTGTTGCTGCTGCTGCAGCAGCAGGGATAACGTAGAGTTCGCGCAGCTGCAGCAGCAGCAGCAGCCTATCAACAGCAGCACAGTATTGTCTCCTCTGCTCCAGCAGCTGCACCGACTGCCACAGCACTGA